AGATACCGCCTGGTCTATAATACCAGGAGAAAATCATTCACAGAGTCAATATGGAGAAGTTAGCTATCAAATCAGCGGTTCTCAACAAGTTTTTTTATTAAAAAAATCATACATACTTATTTTATATTTGGCTTTTTACTGGAAACTGTACCCCTGTTTAAAATGTATATAAAACATTTAAGGTTCACCATGTATGCTTGTTTCCAGAACTTTGCCTTGTGATCTGTACGAGAATAGGCCCCGCCGCCGGCGCTTTGTATCCTCTCGCCCCATTTGCGTGCGATATTAATAAACACGGCGCTTTAAAAGAATGCCGCGGGATTAGCTCGATATCAATTAGTTTTATCATTTCGCCGGCGTCCCCGGGGACGAACCGGGCGAGTTGCCGGTTCTTTAAATCGCTTAAAGCAAATACCTCCTCCTTTGTGTACACTAATCAGTTAATTAACCGGATAAATTCATTACTCTCTTATCACATTTTGAGCGGCTCTTTTCGCCGGGAGGAAAAACGAAATAAAGTTATTCCATTTGGATGTCGCGCAGGATTGTCAGGGATTTGTTTCCTCGGAAATAAATCGGAAATATTGTTAGGGGCGGCGCTCGCTGAAATTAAATCTCAGTCATCCAGTTAGATTTTCACATGCAGAGCGTCCCACGATACTGGGACAAAGTTCATACCTCTTTCGAAAGCCATTTTCCTGTTCAAACAATTTCAAAAATGTTTTCTGCAGCGTGTAAGAAGTTTTACTGCCATTACTTCAGCATGAGATACAGTAATCATAAAAGAACAACAAAGTTGTATATTACAGGGGCGTAACATTAACAGTTTTCAAAATACAGCGAGTATTAATATTGGGGAGTTTCATCACAACGTGACAACAGCGCTAATGCTGTTCTATCTAAGCGATTTTACCGACGATTCTTTAGAAAATACTGCTCAAACAAAAAAATGATAAGGACAAAAGTTGTAGGGTTTTGAGTGAAAAATCCAATGGTGACCTTGACCTCGACCTTGACTACGACCTTGACCTTGACTATGACCTTGAAGGTCATTTAGAGGGCAATTTGAACATTTTAAACGGAACCGTATACTTTTGACCACGGAAATGGTAAGAGCGGAAAATTTTACGTTCGGATGTGACCTTGACCATGACCTTCAAGGCCATTTAGAGGTCAAGTTGAAAATTTTAGATGGAGCCGTATACTTTTGATCTCGGAAATGAAAAGAGCGAAGAATATCGGGTCATTTATTAAAAACCGACCTGACCTGTAAACGACCTTGAAGGTCATTCTCAAGGTCATACCCGAACGTAAAAATTTCCAATTTTTCCATTTCCGGGGTCAAAAATATACGGTTCCATTTAAAATTTTCAGGTTGACTTCTAAATGACCTTGAAGGTCATAGTCAAGGTCACCGTTGGATTACTCACTCAAAACCCTGCAACTTTTGTCCTAATAATTTTTTTGTTTGGGCAGTATTTTCTGAGATAGAGGGGTGGTTCCAAACTTTTTGAAAACCCTGTATAAACATTAAACTTTTAGAAAAAATGTCACTGAAAAGATAATGTCAAAAACAAACAATATTTGCTGTTTTTACTCATTTCTTTTTAAAAAACTTATTTTATTGTCGTATTCCAAATTTTCGCTCAACTTTCCATTCGGAAGCACGAAGCTATGTCCAATCACTCTACCTAGGGCCAATTGCGGCCAAAGTAGAAATCCATGTCCGCGAGGATCTAAACTATCCTCCGCGAAACGCAGAAAGCGCGGCCCGGAAAATAATATTTTCGCTGAAGTTTTGAAAATTTCCGCCGAAGTCCTCAAAAAAGCTCCCAACTGCTCCAGACACAAAAGCCGCAGCAGACTTCATCGCCAGATGCCGGCACAATCAGCTTCCAACAACGCTCTACAGAGATAGAAAATTCACCTCACTTTCAGATTCTGGAAAATAGAAATTTCTCCGAAAAATGCAAAATTCGAACTAGGGCATCGCAATACAAAACCACACTATCACTATCGGACCCCGTCTATCGTTCCAGGCGACTACAATCCAAAGAAAGTCAAAACTCCGAGAGGCCAATTGTCCACACTTAAGACGGACTCCGCTACAGGACCTCTGCGAATCCATCAAGGAATGTGTTCGATCGTCCACCCTGGTACCTTACAGTTCACTAATCAGAAGTGGAGCCAATACGTATAGTACACTCCAAATGTACTGCTATTTGCATAAAGATCTAGATCCTCATTCACCCAGGCATTGTCCAGTCCTACGCTGAAGATCCAAAGGAATACAGCTAGCCCCTAAAAGCTTCCCAAATTTTAACTACTCACAGGAAATTTAAAAAATAATGCTAGGCATAGCATAAAAAACAATAATATAGACACAAAAGTAACCATACTCGACCATTCAGGCTCAGTTGAAAGCCTCCAGAAACCACGGCATCCTAAAAGCGTACAAAAAAAAAACGACAAAATATTTAAATTGGTTTGAATTAACTTAAAAACTTTTCCTGTATTTATTTTAGAAAAGTAATTCCTGACATACCCTGAGTGATGTATGCAGATGTTTGAAATTATTTTCATTAAATACGTCTTTTGAAGGCCATTGTCGTATACTTATTTTGATGATTTAATAATGGAAATTAATCCAAAGATCCTTGCAAATTTATCAAATATTCTATTTCTTCTATTTCATGTCAACATGAACAAACTAATGTAACACCAAAACAGTTGCTTGCGGGTAAACAATCAGAACCTGTATAGACTGCTTACTGTGGATTATAAAGCAACACCCAGGATCTCAATGGGAATGTGTGTCGGTGACAGCCCCTTTGTTGGGTCAAGAGGCGCCCAAAGGCCAGGGCAGCAAAGAAGCCAACGTACCCTAAGGGTAATTGGTCTAAATACAGTTAAGTTTAGCAGCTCTGGTCATCTATCGAACATCAGCATGAATAAATGAAGACACTGATGTATTGTTCACAAAACAGTGGAACAAAATTGGTATTTATGGTCTCAGCAAAGGCAGTAAAGAAGCTAAATGAAACTTATATCTTCGCAAAATGATATGACATAAAAAGTGAGATTTGTGGATTGTTTCACATATGAAATGTTGCAAAGAAAACAAACTTCAAATCAAAATAAATCAAAAACTGAAGATAGGGCAAGCTGTGGAACATGTTCAGTACAAACTTAAGGAAGTAAAATATGGACAGTCCTACCAACGTAGTGCAGACAGCAAGGGCAATAAAACCATTTCGTACGAATAAGAAACAAATACCTGTTGAGAACGCCTATAACGGGATCCCATTTATTTTATTACCGAATCAAAATAAATTACCCACACCGGCAAGAGAGGGCAATATTTCTTCCCGATTTGAATGAAAAGATAAATCGCCCTCTCCTTTCCCTTTAATCACCCGTTTTTTTGCGAGCGCGTAAATTAATGAATAACCGATCTGTGAAACTGTTAATATGGAAATGATGATTACGCGGGTTTTGATTAAATCGACCGCAACCCCGTATAATCATAACTAACTGCATTAAAAATCGGAAAAAACAACAATGCGGGAGTACGAATGTAATTAGATCGGAGTTACGTTTTAATTGGGCGGTTTATCTGGTGGCTTTCACCCCAGTTCAAAAAAAAATTTTGGGTTTATTTACCAGTTAAAGCTCGCAACATGCGGGGCATATTTGAATCAACATTTAAGGTGAGAGTACCTTTTACTACTATTATTATAAAAGTAGTAAGTTTTACTTCAAATAATGAATAAAATAAATTCTAATGCAGTTGTTATAAATAAATATTGTTAGAAAAAGTGTAGTCGTCAGAATGGTTGTCAGTCATTAAAGGTACTAAGAAAAGGAAATTTTTGATGTCAGAAAACATGAAGGCTTTGGTATATACAGGGTTGGGCAAATGTATCGGAACACCTGTGTACAATCATTGATTAAAAAATACATTTTACAAAAGTTTTTGTAGTATTCTTATTCTTTTGAATGATGTACTTCTATTTCCAATATCTACCTTATTTTTTGAGAAACGGCGTTATCGGCAGTTTTATTTAATGGACCGCCCTGTTTATTTTAACATTTTTAGAAAGACAGATTTTCACCGATTACAGTGATATAGGGTTTCGTGGGTCTGCGATTTATTGTTGTTTAAATGTTGAATAAAACAGTAAAATAAAGAGTCGACTGTTTATATTTTTTGTCACAATTACCTGAAAAAGCAATCGGGTTTGCTATCGTTTTTGTAAATTTTGTTTAAAAGAAATGAATAGCGACAGATAGTTATTACTTATTAAGATTGCTGTTCAAACAAGTTATGAGTGAACTAAGTGAGCGTGAAAGTATTTTCTTGTTGATGATGGTTGCTTTTGGAGACAGGAAGAGACCTCTGCAAGATTATTTTTAATGCAACTTTCCCCGAAAGAATTTCCCATATTTATAAATCAACAACTAATTGTTAAGGGAAGTGTTAAAAATCTTACAAAAACCGGTGTAAATCAGCTACAAATGAAGATAAGTCACTAGATGCTCTTCTCAATCTACAAGAAGAACAAAAAACTTCAGTTCCTCAAGTAGCCTTATATCACAATATTAGCGAAAAATAAATTTAAACCGTATAAAGTACATTTAGTACAAAAATTAAATGAAGATAACCCTCAAGAAGGATGCATTTTTGTGAGGAAATGAAGAACAACATTGACAATAATGGAAACTTGTCAATAATATACTTTTCTCCGATGAATCAACACACTGCTTGAACAGTTTTGTAAATCGACATAACTGTCGTTACTGGAATGATCAAAATCCGTATTGGATAGAACAAAATCACACTCAATATCTTCAGAAATTAAATGTATGGATGGGCATAATCAGAGGACCATTCTTGGAGAAAATTTGAACACTTCGTTATTCACAACTTTTGCGCGAGCAAATTGTTCCAACATTAATTCCTTTATTTCCAAACCCAGTAAATCCTGAACTACTCTCAAATGGCATTTGGTACCAACAAGATGGAGCTCCGCCTCATTAAGGAGTTGACCTGCGTCGGTACATAAAGTATTTGCACAGAGATGTATAGGGCGAAGAGGTATTTTGAATGGCCACTGCGATCGCCAAATTTAAGTCCGTTAGACTATTTCCTTTGGGGTCATATAAAGTCTGTTGTTTACAAGACCAAACCTCAGTCGTTAGAAGAGTTAGAAGGTCTAATTATGATGGCCGTTCGAGAAATATCACAGCATACCATTCAAAAGAGCCTTCGTTAATGGATTAGGATATTGTCAGGCTGTCGAAGGTCATCAGTTTAAACATTTATTATGAATCTTTTTTTAATATTCAAGTGCTCCATATTTTGCAATAAGAAATTTCATTTTCATTAAAAAAAATTTTACTCTATTTTATTGTTTTATCCATTTAAAAAACAATAAATCGCAGACCCACCAAACCCTATATCACTATAACTGGTGAAAATCTGTCTTTCTAAAAATGTTAAAATAAACAGGGCGGTCCATTAAATAAAACTGCCGATAACGCCGTATCTCAAAAAATAAAGTAGATATTGGAAATTAAAGTACATCATTCAAAAGAATAAGAATACTACAAAAACTTTTGTAAAATGTATTTTTTAATCAATGATTGTACATAGGTGTTCCATTTAAAAGTAGTTATTAGGAATTGAAGTACGTTATTGAAAAGAATAAAAATACTACGAACACTTTTTTTAATGGTACTTTGTAATCTAACTTATGGTACACATTTGCCCAACGCTGTATATTCTTATAGTGTACTGTAATATAAAGAGTACAGTTATAAGAAGGCAACGGTTGTGTCACTTTTTGTTTGATTGAAATTATTTTTTCAAATTTTATAATCAAACAACATTTAAGCTTCTAAGTAGTGTTCTCTGGGTCATAAAAATGACCCAAATTATATTCCAAACGTAAACAGACACCTTTTATTTATTTTATTTTAATTTCTGCCACACTCCGGAACAAAGCACACATAAATAAAAGACAGGAAATATATTCCTCGAGCTAACCTAAATGATGCCAGTTTGATTTCCCGGCTCCCAGACTTCGTTCTCGGTGTTTTTTCTGGTTCTTTATTTTATCACGGCTATAAAAAATATTTACCGAGCAAAGGGGCTGTTATTGTTCTATTGAAATCTTTTCGTTTGTGGAAAGGAGGCCTGTGGGTAACTGTTTTCGTTTGCCATTATCTCGTGTCAGTATTCGAACGGTTTTTGTCGTGATTGGGTTCTTTTTTTCGCGCGAACACTTAGGTAATTAGCTTTTTCGCTCGAAACTTGTTAATAAATAAGGTGCAAAATAAGACCACCTCGTATAATTAACGCTGAAGAAACGTAAGTAAGTCGCCGCTTTTCGCCGGATCGATTAAATTAAAATCACGTCTAGGTGGCACGGAATAAATTCACCAAATAAAAAAATTTAATGCCCTGGCGCAATTTACATAATTCCACAGTTAAGATAATGTCTATGGAGTCATTACGATCAATTTGGGTCTAACGTTTAAGTCCAGAAATAGAAGCTCGAACAACAGATATCTATCACATATTGGTGAAATTGGATACTATGCGACTAGGGTACACTTCATAAAATTATCAAATAAAAGGTAACGCGTACTGATAAGCGATATAATGTAAATTTCAGTCCAATATCAATATTTTAAAAAAATATTGATATTGTTGTCTTAGTAACAGGGTTTTATACAAAGTAACAATATGGCAGCAAGTCGAGTTTAATCCAGGTACTGGTCACTTGATACATATCTAAAAAGTCCTTAAAAACAGTTTTTATAGTTCTTCCGACCTTGTCCTTTGGTAACCTTACCAATAAATTAAGACCCTAGCTAAGCTTTTTTATTCATTCACTGAAGCTTATCCACGATAAGCCGTTTCAGAGCACGGATGTGACCTATGGAATAATAATATTCATCCCCTTCCTCGAATAAATAATGAAGGATAGGAATTGTCACGATTACAGATTCTTCCGCATGTAAATATTTTTATCGCCAATCGTCAATAGAACCTTGCATTACCATAGCGATTTCCGGAAGTAATCAAACACTTTATTTTACTGTAAAATTCATAGTTACTTATTGTATAAGTGTTTTAAGGAGGTATATCGGGTTTACTCAAATGCACAGATGTTCTTGAAATTTATATAGTGTATTAGCCAGTGCTCCTTCTGTGCGTCATATTTTTTTTTTTTTTTTTGAATCTAGATTTTGAGATATTGTTGTTGAAAGTTGTTCATTTTAACATAGGTTTATATCGCGAAGATGGACGGTGCGGCTCTTTTTTTGTCCATAACTGAGAAAAAAATGTAGAAATTGTGAAACAAAACTTTTCCATAGATAGTACACAGTATTATCTTATTTTTGATGTAAAACTAATGTAAGTTTTGAACATAGTACAGCTGTATTAATTAAAAACAGAGACCAATAATTGCATTTCGGTCTTACTTGAAGATTAATGTGGCAACGTCGCGATCAGCTGACAGCAAGGAGGGAATACATTTGAAAGACTTGATAAAAACGAAATTGATTTCAAACATATACATTTTTCCTAAATTCCATGTATATTGTTATCAGCAATAAATTATCTACAACAGATGATTTTTTTGTAATGTTTTTAAAAAACTAGATTAATTTAAAAAGACTAGGAAGCTGTGATATATTTACTGGAATAAAAAATACAGTTGATAAATTATTTTAATATATTTAATGGTTTATAGAAACATCGTAATCATTACCCAGCAATATTTAGAGTTACATAAAGTTTTCTTTACTTGATTAATATAATTAGTAATACTTAAGATACAAGCATTTGTACGGAATAACAAAGGAACATAAATATATCTCAGCAAACTTTATATCTAAAAAATTAGTTATAGTTGCAAAACTTTTGTAACATTACCAAAATAGAGATTAAAAACACGAACAGTGAATAATAATGTAATTTATATCACAGAAACTTTAAAATTGCATCCAACATTTTCTTCGACTTGGACGAGAAATGGGCGCGAGTGACATTTCATTTCTTTAAAACTAAATTAACATAATTCTCGTTGTTTTACCAGTTCACGTGATTTACGAATTTTTTAATATAGGATACAAATCTTCGCGAGGATAATACGATATATTTGCTATATATAATAATTACATCGTACATAGTTTACACACAATACATTTTTGAACGCGTGCGCATTTTTACCAGAATTTGACGCGCAATATCTCCGATGTCCGAGGTCTGTAGGTTCACAGTGTATACAACTGCTAGTCAATTATTAGCGCTGTTGCCACATCTAGTCTTTATGCGCTCATTAAATAGAATTGAAAACTACTTAAATATGATATTTTTATGTTGTTAATTAGTCAATATGTATGCTATGTGCATATGAGTAGATTTCTTTGCTATATAGATAATGTTTATCGCAAATAATTTTAATAGAATTTAATTTTTTCAAATTAGCAACGGGTTTCATTCCCATAAGAAAAGCATAGGACCTCCCTGCGCTCCTCACTTCCCTCGGACCCCTATATACCTCCTTAAGTTGCATTTATACAAAGCAAAAAAAGCTGGTTGTGTGTAGCGGTTTGTATCAACGCGCCAAATCCCCCACCTCTCCGCCATATTTAAGCACCGAAGTGTCGAGCTCTAATATTTCATGTACCATAAACTACACAAGTTATGAGTAATATTCCAGGACTATTTTTTCTACGACTTTAAAAAGGCCCTCTTAACCTTTTACTTTTTTTCCGGTTGAGTGCAATCCTGAACCCAATTTAATTAGTCCCATTAATTAAAGATGTATTCTACCAACACCAGCTCTTGGCGCTGACAAAACTTTTGCGCTCTATTCAAAAATTTTCTTTGCCCCGATAGTACGCAAGATGAGAACATATTTATGCAAGTATAATACGCTTTCGTTCCGCGTTATACGAACCAAGTGCTCAATAGTTCGTACTTGGCTCAGTGCGGAAAATTAGAGTTTAATTCACAGACAAAACTAGTCTCTATTAATTTAAAAGCTCAAGTTGACTCGACAGCGCTCCGAGAAAACCCGACCTTAAAATAAAACGATATAATGGATAATGGGTCGGTTTACAGACCCTGCCTTCTTGTTTATTTTACATGTTTATACCGGTTTATTACCGTGCAATGGCAATTCCGCGACTTAACAGGGAATGGAAACTCGGATATACGGGGTATCTGACTTTTCTCGCAGAAAAAATTGAGTTTTTTTTAATATCGATAATAACACCCAAACTTTGTTATTGGTTTTTGTTGTAGTAGCTTCGAATCTTCCTATGGTGATCCACAGGGAACAACAATAGGACCCTTATTGTTTCAGATGTATGTTTCTAACAATACTTCGTATTACTAGTACCATATTACGTCTATTTAAATACTTGACTTTGATTGGTACATCAATATAGCAATATTTATCTTTCTTCCAGGTCCAAACACGAAGACAACTATAGCAATCCTAAACTGCCTGCTGGCCAGACAGCTGTGCTTCGAGGATGCCTCCTGTTCCGCCATCTTAGAAATCATACCCAGAGTCTGCGGTCCTGAAGTCGGTAAGTCGATTTTGATGAAATATTTTGTCGACTTGTTAAAATATGTTCTGACAAATAAACTCACTAAAATAGTTTGAATTATATGCGGAATAACGTGTTTGCAATGAATTTGATTTCTGTTTTGGACATATAAAGTACCTTCATTAGCGATGTGACGGCGGTTGGGTGTTTTACCACAGTTAAACCTAATTTGGAATAATTCCGTAGCGTCTGACAATAACCAACGCTCGGATGACATTTTTACGCGGTAGAAAATGCAGAGTTTCCGCTTGAAATTTTGATCATTACCACTGCTATCCTCTCAGTGTAAATGAATGTAATACAAAGTGGAAAAATGAATTGGGGCGTTTTTTATTCAACTGCGTATCTCAATTAATAACAGTGCTATTGACATGAATCCAAATACAATTTTTTTTAACATTTTTAATGATATCATGGTGTAGCTATTAGTGAGGTCAGTTTTTTAGGTGTAACAATACTAATCTAATTGATTTCAAATCAAATAATCTATCAATCACAATATCGATTTTGGTTGTATATATGCCGTATGTGGACGCTTATCAATGTTGCCAGATGTTACCTATCGTTTTAGATCAACTTTATGGAACTAACGGAGTGACAGAGAAAATAATTTTGTAAAAAGTTTGCTTTTGTTTGACTTTGCGACATACTATTTTAATGTCAGTATATTTTTTGTCAGTTGCGAACGAATTGCATTGAAATTACTGTGTCGTAAATCTCTGTGTCAATGATCTCTGACATTGACGTGATATAGTAGAAATATACTAAGATCACTATAGTAGGTTAAAATAGGTTATTAAAAATAAATGCTATATATCTTAATTCAATACTAATTTAATTACTAAATCAGTGCTAGACATCTTAAACAAATCAAAAGCAACATATAACAGCAATAAAATTAAACCGCAAATGATACGCACGAATTGAAAATACGTTGTGAAGTATCGTTCCCAATGAAAGCATGTCTTAAATAAATAAATAAATAAATAAATAAACAAATAAATAACCTTTATAATAAAGTATGGGAATAGTCAATTTAATGATAAAAGAAAAAAGAGAAAGACATAAATTCTTATACTAAAAGAATTCAGCAATGCTATACATGGTGATTCACAAATGTTGACCAAATATGAAACCTTGTATTCTTTGGTGAATTTTAAGGGGAATCTTTTCTATATAGTTTTTATCTAGGACGCTTCGTTAAAAAGATACAGGGTGTTAAACTTCAGAAAATATTTTTAATTTTTTTAAATAATTTAAAAACTAGTAAGTGAAATAATTTGAAATGGGGTATTGAATATTTATGTAAACATTGTCCAAAATCTGAGGGCTTTTTCTAAAATTTGCATTCTCCAGTGGCAGAGCTATAAGGTATCGGTGGTATATTTTTCTAAATAAAATAGCACGCCACTATTTTACGGTAACAAGTATGATATGTTCGGATTCGTCTTTCAATTTTCTACTCTCTTGTTTTTCGAAAAAAGTCTGATTTTCGTATAAATTTAAAAAACCAACTGAAAACACTTCTACCTAATAGTCCAGTTACTCAGGGTTTTTACCTCCGAATTCTTTATAACTGAACCGATTGACGTGAAATTTTGAATGAATGTGGGGAATGCCTCAAGGAACAAAACTTATATAGTGCCGAAGTGTGCTTTTGCCCTGGGGATGGTTCCCACCCCTTCTTGGGGTGGAAATTTTTATGCCCAAAATAAACACAGGAATCGATAGAGAAGTCAATTTTAAGTAACAAATGTTATATAAAGTTTTTTGGATAATCCAATACTTTCCGAGTAATTCGTCATTGAAAATGTTGATTTTTTACTGAAAAAGTGCTTGTTTTCGAACAGTTTTTTGCAAATAACTCTGAAACCATTGGATTTAACGAAAAAGCTGCAATGAACAATAAGAAAGGTAATAAACAAAATAATCTAATGGTACTATTTTGTTTTTCTCTAATTGCAATATAAACCGAGTTATGGATTTTTAAACATTATTATATGTTAGCTAAAAACTAAATTGGAACCAGTTTAAATAACGCCAAAACCATAAATATTAGGAAAAAATCTGTTTGAACCTTTTTTAAAGTACTTTGAAAAACCTTTAAAATGAGCTTTTTAAAAGTCTTTAGAATCAAAATTAACGGAAATATGATCGAAATAACATGATAGTCTCATTTTTTTTTAAGAAAAAATTAATAAACAAATCAGTGCCTTTGGCGACAAAATCAAAATTAAATGCAATCCATTTACAGATTTCTTCATTTATGTTCTAAGAATATGTTCTGGGTCTTTGGCTCACTTACAAAGCGTGATTTCGAAAAAAAAACTTAATTTTTGAAAATATTAATTTTTCAAACTTTTGAAAAGTTAGACACTGTATAACTAAAAAAAAAGATCATCAAAATCAGACTAACTGTCCACGGGGGGGCACTTATAGTGGTGCACTAATTTTGATGTGAAGTTTATAATGACCATCACATCGCAAGTATTATTCAACAGAACCCAAGCAGTAGACGCCATTGAATATTGAATGGGATTTATATTTTATTAAAAACAAAAGATTTCTACCCAGCAATGCAGTCGGACATTCTCCCCTAATGCTAATTGCACTTGCCATTAAGATCCATTATTAATGTCGAATTGCAGCTGAAAATAGACCTGGAGGGTGAATATCTATGAAAAGGAAATCAATGACAGGGATATGCTTAGATCTTGTCTGTCGTCGAAATACGAGATATAATTTTTTAAATGAAATATAACGTCACCTTTTACAGAGTGGAAAAATACCTGTTACGTATCTTACTAAGAAATATTGTCAGTTGTCCTAAGTTGATTTTCTTCTTCTAGTCAGTATTTGTTTATTTTTTAGCCAGACCTCAACAAAAAAACGTTTTACATAACGACGCGATGCCTCTACGGCATTTTGCTGACATTCACCGTAGATTAACTGCATTTGTACCACTTCTCCGTTTCTAATTGACATTAAAATTAATCCTGGATTAGTTGTGTGTACAGATGATGGAAAAATTTGACATGGCAATTAAAAACTACTAAATTAAAAACTACTAAAAATTTCTATTTACATAAGTATTGAATATTAAAATTGAATTAAACCTAAAAGTAGGACCAGTACGATAGAATATATCTCGTCATGTAGTTAAGTAGGAATTCGTGATTCAACAGTAAATAGATTTTATTATAGTTTAATTATCAAATGCAATGAGAAAGTAATAGAGGCATCAGTACTTAACTATAACATTCCTGAGCCCCATCGAAAATTTGTACGTAGCAGAACTCTCAATATATGATACTGTTAATTTGTTCCTTACTATTTATACTCCGGAATAGATGGCGCTTTGAACAATCGAAAGTGTGTTTGTTTGAATATTAGAAATTCCTTGATGTTAGTCATAGTAATTAGAGTAAAATTAACTTTACGGAGAAATATAATTTAAATTAAATTGAAAAGGGAAAGGAAGAAGTTTTGTAATAACTATCACTAACAAATTTAATTTATATCATCTACCAAAGTTTATCTAATCTTTAACAGAACAATTCTAAATTTTGTTTTCAAACTATATTAACAAAACAATAAAATCTCATAAAATGTCGAAGCTATTTTTATTAATGGTGGCAAATCATCAACTTCTTCACGTTTTAGTAATTCCACTATCTATATATTGCACAATAACATGTCTGTCTCTGATCTGAAACTTCGCATCGATCAATTTATTCCATACGTACCTAGCGACACCCTAAAGCCTGCCCTGTCGGTCTTACCAGCTTTAAATTATATTATTTTTTAATATACCTACATATTTCGGTTATTAAAAAACTTTATTAAGTTTTTTTGCAGGTTTAGTTATTTTTACATCTATAAACGCGAATTAAAGTTAAACCTGCACTTTCTACGGCCCTGTATGATAAAAATACATCGAACATCCATTACCCGCCTCTGGAAATGCAGAATTTCGTCCGGTCTAAGCTCATAAATACCGAGTACCAAATTTTAAGTTCCTGAAGTCGTAGCGAGTAATCCTAACAAACGCCTTATTGTTAGTCTCAGAATCCTTCACTGACAACAGCTGGACTGTTTACTAATTCATTAGGTCTGATTGTTATGTATTACCGAGTCTGTTTGGGCGTTAACGCGGATAACTATATGTTACGAGGAGCTAATCTATAAGTAATCAATCTACGTATTCCGACGCAACAGTGTTAATTAAAACTAAATATGCATATCTACGGGATCTTGCCTATAATTATGTCTAATGAATTATTTCCAGAATATTATTATACGTATTAATCTTTCATCCTGTTCGTTTTACACTGATGAGGTCTGATAACACCGAAATTAAAAATTGAGTATTGTATATTATAGTTTATTAAAACCGAACAGTATTATTGCAGTACCCATAGATCCCCTATTTTTTGAGTACGCCTATACTTCCCGAATATTTTTTTAGAAATAGCGGCGTTTTATTCTTTTTTTTTTCACACTATTTTTTTTATTTGGGGCCTCGTTTACGAGATATTGTAACTTTTTGGATACGCGATTTCGATTTATTCGACGTTAGACTTTATTTTTTCGGGCTATATGAAAGATTTGGGTCATTATTTATTTCAATTTACTGAATAAAATAGAAATAATTTGAGTTAAATCAAACATATCTAAAAAAGTTGCAATGTCTCGTACCAGATCGCCCCAAATCAAGATATGTGGTTTCAGCCTAAAGTAAACTTTGCCTAGTACAATTCGTTTCTTTGACTATTGTTTAGTTAGTATTGGTACCATATAAAAGAAATTTTAACGCCCTGTATATTGTTGACACCCTGAATTTTGAAAATGGGTCTTCGAAATGAAAAGTGGCATAAGAAAACACCCATTATTTTAGTCCAAAGAATATGTGGTTAACCTACTAATTTGTAACACCCTGTATATTTGCCCCGTTACCGGGTGTAAGGCGAGGATAAACG